TAAATTATTTTATGAATTTTTATTTCAACGTAAATTCAATAGCAGAAATACTTTTTTTAAGATTTGGTGAACCATATTTTTATTTGTATTATTTGAATCTTACACATACTAATTAATAAGAATACGTGTGCAGCCCATCACATACGGATACATTAACAATTATTGGTAGTCATCCATACTTGTTCGTCTTACTTTCCATAATTCAATGTAATAGAATAGAGAGTTGGCAGTGAAAAGCTATTACACAAATTTAAAAGAAAGTGTCTTACTTATTCAATTAAATAAGGAATTTGTCATTTTGAAGATCATACTTTCTTGATTTCTTCAGTACTAACTTGATGGTTGTATAGTAAATCAAATAATATTCTAACACTTAGCTTGTGTGGGAAGCTTTTTTAAAAAATAATTGAAATATTCATATGAATTTTCTCTAAATTTAACGGGTCAAAATTATCCAATGACAACAGAACTTTACGTGAGATGCAAATAGGTACTTATTTGTAGGTAATAAAGGTATCCTGAATTGTATGCGTCGTTTATATGTAGTTATTTGAAACTATTTAACTAAAAATATAGATTTAAAATTTTTTTTTTTTAATTACTGTTCAATGATTACGTTTATTTGATAAAACAATTTTAAAAACCTACGGAAACCAAGTCTATTTCCACACGTTTCTTAAAATGATTACACTCAATAGTTAAAAATTGTTCATAAGATTGACAATAAGTACACATGAAAAATTTACCTGCATATGCTGTAAACACTCTTCTCTCATTTCCAAAGTCATTTTAAAAACAAACGTATTATCCTTATTGAACATAATTGCGTTTTGAAACATAAGCATGATATCTCTCTGAAAATGTGTAGTTGATCTTATAGTACCATTATCTATGTTCTTTTTCACTGTCGATAAATCCATGGGTCTAAATATAATAGAATGATAGCCAGGAGCTTGATCTTCTGTAATGGGTCGTAAAAATATGGATGCATATTTATGTGTAGCAAGAGTGTTATAAACTGACATAATCAATTTTTTCCACGATTTGTAATCAGCCGTTTCTCCACTTCCTTCATTTTCAGGTTCACTGTCATTTGTAGAAGTTTGTTTTTTTGAATAAGTTTTCATAGTCTTATTAATACTCAATTTGCTAATAATAGATTCTTCTTCATCTATCTCTTCTGTGCTTCCAGCAGATTCAGCGTTCTCTTTTTTGACTAAAATTTCATTTTCATTTTTCATTTCTTTCTCGTTTTCCTGACAATCTCTGGTGTTATTATCATATTCTTGCTTTGGTTCAATTTTTATTAGACCAAGATTTTCAATGTCACTTTGTTTATTTTCTTCTTTTTTAACACTTTTTTGTTTGAATTCTTCTACGTTCTCTGTCTTAAGAAATATTTTACTTTCAATTACGAAGTATTCCTCTGAATTTTTGCAAACATTTGTCTTACGATGTTTTACTGGTTCATTTTTTTTTGTTTCAACTTCATTCTTTTGATTTTTTTCATCTTTTTCCTCTCTACTAAGAATCTTAGCTGATCCTGTTAGAATATCTTTCTGTCTGTTGCTTGAACAGTGTTTTGTTGTTTCACAAGTTCCTTGCTTTTGCTTTATGTCTTTAATTTCAACAACGTTTCCAGTTTTACTTCTTAAAGAATCAATTTTTGACTCAAGTAAAACACTGACAGCTTCAGTTTTTTGGCTGGATTTACTTTTTTCAACTCTTTTTCTTTCCTGTAAATAATTAAATTTTAGTAAAAAAAACTTTCATCTTTTTCAAACTTGTTTATGAGAATTAAAAAAAAAATAAGTTGAAAATCAGAATTATTAACGTAGAAAATGTAAATGAACGATTTTTCATTTAAAATGTAATTTTAGTGTACCTATATGGACTCGGATGTAGGTATAAGTACCACTGAAATGATAAACCATGAAACAAGAAATTTTTGACACAAACTGAATACTAGAAAATTATTGCTAATATTTGATCTATCCAGTTTTCATGTTTTTTGGAGTCTTACACACCCTAATTTATGAGTACACGTGAGCATGCCAACACATACATCTGTACATATACGTAATATTCACGTACGTATTTTTTAGTAGATATTTGCATACGTTTATATGATTTTTCAAACGAAAAAAAAATTAGTCTGCGACTCGTTATAATTTTTAATTTATACATATATATAAAAATTATATGCCATTATCATGCTAGCAGATTAACCTACTTAAATAAATATTAAATGTATTTAAACACCTACAGTTACTGAGCAAAACTATCACATGATCCACTTCAGTCTTTAGAAAAGCAACGCCTTTGATACTCAAGTAGCTTGATACTCAAATATGTATAAAATAACACATGCTTAGTTGATAATATTTAAGAAAGTTTATACATTGCACATTTTATAAAAAAAAGTAGGTTGTTATTTTGTACAATCTTCTTGTTTTATGCGAGAAATGAATATATATATATATATAAATATACACAC